GCAGCCTAGCGCTTGCCGACCAGCAGGGCTGTCCTGCCATCTTCTGTTACCCGTTGTCTGGACCTGATCTCAGCCTGCCTGTAACCCATTTCCTGACCCACACCCTACTTTACCTTAGACTATCGCCTACCTCGCACTTGTTGCTCAGTAGTGCTTTCCAATTGTCTCCTGCTCTCCGTTTCCAGACGCCAGTTAGCAGGTCCTACCAAAACAACTACCCTGACATAGTTATAAAATTTTGAATTGTCTTAAAAAGTGGTATGCAAATTTCTAAAGCAAATAAAACAAATATCAAAAAACAAAAGTTTTATAACTCAATGTTATCCAATATAAAACTCATATTACAGTATGTTTGATACAGTCACAGCAGCCTTTGAGTAGTTAACATCTCAAAATAAATATCGACTCTGGAGGAAATAAGACCATTTTTACAATGTCAAAATACATACAGTATGAATGTATTTAAAGTGTAAATTCACAATCTAACTGTAAGACTATGGTATGTAAACAAGCCAGCAGATTGTTGAACACTAAGATGTGTCATAAAGCTGGAATGAAATGTTTCGCTTTAAGGTAACATTTATTTGATAGTTCACTCACTTAGCAGGCATTATACCGTTGACTGGACTGAACATCTAAAAGAATGAGGATTGTTGCTTCACCAAAATAAAGCCTACTATTGTGGAGCAGTTCCGTATTCTCAGCCGTTTAGCCACTACGGACATCCACAATGATCATCTGTGTATTTGTGTGGTCTGATACATCCATGTCAGCCAAGTTTGAGAGAGTAAACACTGATATTGACATGCTCCCTGCCTGCAGGGCTCTTTATTGACAACTCCTGCTATTCCTGATTCAGCAATGAATTATTTGGTTCAGTGTTACTAAGCTCCCAATCTCCGACACATTTATTTTATAGTTCACAGGCATTACACCATTGATTGGACTGAACATCTGAAAGAATGAGGATTGTTGCTTCACCAAAATAAAGCCTAGTAGTGAAGAGCAGCTCCATGCAGAGGCACCCAAGCACAAATGAGAAGCAGCCGTTTTACTGTGGGCTGATGCAGTGATACAATAGCAGACAAGAAAGAAGACCATTTACTTATGTTACCTTAAAGTGAAACATTTCATTTCAGCTTTATGACACATCTTAGTGTTCAACAATCTGCTGGCTTGTTTACATACCATAGTCTTACAGTTAGATTGTGAATTTACACTTTAAATACATTCATACTGTATGTATTTTGACATTGTAAAAATGGTCTTATTTCCTCCTTCAGAGTCAATATTTATTTTATGAGATGTTAACTACTCAACTGCTGCTGTGACTGTATCAAACATACTGTAATATAAATATGCCTATATGGTTCCACTTGATGTCTCATTGACATCTTACTTTAGCAGAAATACTGAAATATTGTATTCAGTGGTGGAAGAAGTATGGAAATCATTACCTTAAGAGGAAATAGCCAAACCTACTGCAAAACAACTCCGTGACAAGTACAAATGCATTACAACTTTTACTTAAGTATTTAAGTATTAAAAAAATGTGCTTAATATTTATACGGAATGGTCACTTTTTCCTATTAATTATGAGATCAATATGAATATATTAAGCAATGTTGCATATCTAATTTAAACTGCTTAATGCTTAATCCATATACTGGTGGGTGATTCTATAATTTAATACAGATCATTTTATTGTACACACAGCAAACAAAACTGAGAAGTGTACACCTCTAGTCAGTATTAGCTTTTTAATTACAAATTCTGTTTGATACAACAGTATTTATTTTTGGACAAAGTCCAAGAAGAAATAGGCCAATTAATTTGAAAAAGAGAAATGTTTAATTAAACTAGACAAAAAACAGCTCCACATTTGATGAGTTTCCATTCTTTCATTTTCTGAAACTATGACATTGGCTGGCTTTATTTTTAATGACAAATTAATCCTCATGGACAATACTGGTGCAACACTATCATCCGTGCCCGGGAGGAAGGACATCGCAGAAAGACCAATTTCCACAGATTATTCTTGTGCCAAGTTGCAGGCACTTTTTCAGTGCAAGGTTGCATTAAATAGAAAATTGTGGCTAGTGTAGGACAGCCACTGTGCCTTCTGTTATTGGTAATATGGCTCTTGCTACACCTAACCACTGTTGCAACTGTGTTTCAGCTTATGTACCAACTTGGTGATAAATGTTTAAACACAACTACAGGCTATATTTCAGCAGCCTTGAAAAATTGCTAGGTTGTGTATTAGAGAATCAACACAGCCAAACTGTTGTTGAACAAAAGATGCTGTGCTGTAAATCGATCACCACTTTTAACCTCTGATAGAAAGGCATTCTTATACTTCCAGGAAAGCATTTTTACACAGTTTTATCTTTGGCAGCTGTCCATGGCTTGAAATTGGATAATAGCCAATGGAGGTGTCCAAGAAACACTTAATACTTTTAATTAACCGTGCCGACCAGAGTTCCATTATTTATCGTCATTTGCGGTTTTTGAATTGTGCATCCAGCACATGCCCTAAAGAAAACTGCTTTGACAACATGAGCCCAAGAAGACACAAGAACAAACTTGAGGTGAAAAGCTTCCAATGTGAATAAAAGCAATTACAAAGTAATGAAACTTAATACTTCAGTAAGCTCCCTGCCAAATGTAGCTTTGGGTATTGGTACATTTAAAATCCAAACTGTGACATTAAGTTTGGATTAGGATAAAATTTCTTATGTAATTGTGTAAAAGCGTAAATTTCGTCAGACCTTGATTCTATAATTGGTATCTGCCACTACACATGTAAGACTGAGCTGTTATTAGGCAAATGCCAAAATACAAAACCAACCTTAACAGTGGATACTGTCTGGGGAAAATAAATATGACAATAAGTGAATGTGGTTCAGCTTTGTACAGTGCCTATTAAACGTATTCACCCCCCTTGGATCTTTTACCCTTTCATTTATTTTATATATCAATCATGGTCAATATAATTTGGCTTTTTTGACAAAAAAAAGAAGGTTTTTTTATGTCAAATAAAAATATGTTATGTGAAATAAGTCATTGCATAAATATTCAGTCCCTCTAATACGACTGACCTAATTCAACAGCGGTCCAGCCAAGTGGTGCTCGTAGTCAACTAGTGAAATGGGGATCACCAGAGTGCAGTGAATGTGTCTCAAATGATTGTAGTATAAAGACACCTGTGTCTGGAAGGTCCAGTCACTGGTTAATCAGTATTCCTGGTTACCGTCACACCATGAAGACAAAACAACACTCCAAGCAAATCAGAGAAAAGGTTACTGAAAAGTATAAGTCAGGGGATAGATACAAATCCAAGACACTGAACATCCCCCAGAGTTCAGCCCAGACCTCAATCCAATAGAGAATTTAGGAATATAGCACATACCTAAATCTGCCTAGGTCAGGCCGTCCTCACAAACTGAGTGACCGTGCAAGAAGGAGACTAGTGAAAGACGCCACCAAGACACCTACCTGTATGAATACTCTGGAGTTACAAGTTTCAGCAGCTGATATGGGAGAGACTCTGCATACATCAAGTCAAAGCTTTATGGGAGAGTAGCAAAGAGAAAGTCACTGTTGACGAAAACTCATTAAATCTTGACTAGAATTCACCAAAAGGCATGTGGAAGACTCCATGGTCAAGTGGAAGAAAGTTCTTTGGTCTGATGAGACCAAAATGGTGCTTTGTGGCCATCAGACAAGACGCTATGTTTGGTGGACATTAAAAACTGCACATCACCACAAACACACCATCCTCACTGTGAAGCACGGTGGTGGCAGCATCATGTTGTGGGGATGCTTCTCGGCAGCCGGCCCTGGAAGGCTTGTAAAGGTAGAGGGTAAAATGCATTCAGCAAAATACAGAAAAAGCCTGGAAGACAATCTTATTCAGTCTGCAAGAGAACTACGGTTTGGGAGAAGACAATGACCCAAAGCATACAGCAAAAGCTACACAGAAATGGCTTAAAGACAGGGTGAGTGTTCTGGAATGGCCGAGTCAAAGCCCAGACCTCAATCCAATAGAGAATTTGTGGCTGGATTTGAAAAGGGCTGTTCACGCCCAATTATAGAATCAATAAAAGGGTAAAACATCCAACCGGGTGAATACTTTTTATAGGCACTGTACACCAATCAGGCATAACATTCTGACCACTGGCAGGTGAAGTGAATAAACACTGACTGTTACAGTGGCATCTGTCAGTGTGTGGGGTATATTAGGCAGGGTCATGGACGCCCACGGCTCACTGATGATGAGGTTGACCTACTGTAGATTAAACTTTTAACTTCCATTTGTACTTTTCAAAAGATTAGAAATGTATTTGAATCTTTGTTAAAATGGTTGAAAATGAGAAATACTGTACATTGGTCTCTATGAAGAGAAAGAGTCAGGGGCTGTAGTGGTGATATCACACCTAGAGTGGTGAGGCTGTTGGATTTGTCTAAACAATTCTCTCCAACTCGTCCTCACGACCAGTTTTCACTCCTTTTACATAAGTTTTTCACTGAAATGTAGACATATCTGTGCTCTTCCTGACAGTAGAACTGTGGAAGCAAATAGATTCACAGAAGATGCACAGTGAGCTGCAGAGTGACACGAGTGCCAACCAACTGCCACGTTGACTAAACAGTATTAGGCAGGTGGTCATAATGGTATGCTCATCGCTGTATATTAGCATCTTAAATGGAATTTAAGTTCTGATCACCAAAAGTTACCACAGTAAAAAATACACCTTAAAAAAAACAAAAAAAACAGCACATGATAACCAATACAAAAAGGACAGGGAAAAATAATGAAACACATTTACAAGTCAGACCAGTGTTCTAACAGTCGCACCTTCTGAGCCACACAGCCTCACAGCTGTGGTGACCTTTTAATCCGTTTGTCTGTGCATAGATATTGGCATTAACATCCTCCTACCTAAATGAAAAGGTCTTTCTAAGCCAACACCTATATCATGCTGAACTACCCTTACCTCAATCTATCTGTGCCAGCTTTGTATCTGGAGACTCTGGCCATCAACAAGGGCAAGGAGACAGCATCCAGCCAGCGCTTCTCATACTTTGGTTCATTAGCTGAGGGCGAAGGGGGTGATGGAGCCTGCATGGAACACATGAAGAATGCAATGAGCTTTCTGCTTCCCCTCACAAAGCCCTTTTGATCACTGAGGATATGGCCTAAATGTTATATTTGCACCATTTACATGCACAAAATAATCCATTCTTAACCCGAGTTAATTGGCTGTACAGTCGGTAAATAAGATATCCTTTGACACTGATAACTGTTTCAATGATAACACCAACACTTTAGCCATTATATTCCTGACCTGGTACTGCGGACACTGTCTGTTCACTGGAAACTGGTCTCACCTGAGGCCAAAACACAACAGCAGCAGCACTATTTTCCTCGTGTGCTTAAATTATTAAAGCTACAGTATGTAACTAGCACAAAACTCCAATCAATCCAATCTGCTCTACCCAGCACTCCCTCCCCACTACGATTCACCACACTTCAGATTTGTCATTATGAAATTAGAGTAAATGAGGATGCAACAAAATTTACTGATGAAGAAGAAATAACTGAAAATCTGACTGGTTAGAGAGAACAATCCCGCTCAAAACCTTTTAGAAGCCAATATCTCTGCATTGCTGCCAGTGCTGTTCAATGGCTCTGGGTCACAGGAGGCTTCAACACCACCTCTCCACACCAAGACAAGTTTTGAAACCTACTTCTACAAATATGTTACATACTGTAGCTTTAAAACACAAATCAGATTATCAAACTATGACACTAATGAATACTAAACAAGCTTACAAGTAGTACTGCTACTAATCTTAATTCTGCTCGAGACAAACAAAAGTAACTAGAACACTGACGTGGAACCACTATAGGATTGTGTAAAGTGACATGTAGATTCAGTGTTTCTCTTTAAAGTTCAAGTTTTACTGAGCAGTACTTAATATCCACCTCCTACATCTCAACAGCAGTCACTTTGATGTTACCCAACTATGTCCCATCATTAGTTAAAGCAGAACCATGGCAGCTAGACTACATTTCCTATTCAGTTACTCCAAATATGAGTCAGCATTGCATTAAATTCCAGATATTTTAAATGTTCAATTTAAACTCAATTGGAGACATTGAGTCCGAGTGGGCCATATTCTCCACCTCCATTGCCGATGCGGCCACTCGGAGCTGTGGCCGTAAGGTCAATCCCCGAACCCGGTGGTGGACACCAGAAGTAAGGGATGCCGTCAAGCTGAAAAAGGAGTCCTTTTGAGCCTGGTTGGCTCGTGTCTGAATTGGATAAAATTGTATGCATCTTGTGACATTAATGAAAGCAAGCAGTTTGTGACATACTTTATATGTGGCTCAAACGTAAGAGATTGTCACGTTCCCAGTGTGGGAATGGCAAAATGAGGAGACTGGATCCAAGTGACCTGAAACTGTCAGTAGACTAGCAGCAAAGCCAGAATCCCTCCAGATGACAGAGGTGGCTACTTTGGAGAACCCTTTGACTAATGGCCAGGTGGCAGGGACTCAGTGCAAAGTTCAGGATGAGCACAGTATGGCCAGCAAACTGATGACCAGACAGGACGCCAACTCTGGACCAGACAGAGTAACAGACTGAACAGCTAGTTGGGTATCGGCCCAAGAGGCCAAATAAGGAGCAGGATGTGAAGCTTGAGGGGCATCAAAGGATAGGTCAACTAAGAAGTTGGCTCAGAGACAGGAAGAGACGTGGCATTAGCGGCTTCGGACAGCCCACTGAGGGTTGACGTGAAGAAATGTGATGTTGGTGGTGCCAAATGACCCACGGATGGGAGCAGATGATAGGTTAATAGTTTTACTCACAGAGAGGAACAGATCAGACAAGTAGTCAGCCACTTCAGCTGATTCAAGGGCACGAACAGAAACTAAAGTTGTCCCTTTAGACCCGCAAGATTGTCAAGACACTCTAGGAAGACAACACTCAAACCTAATAGAACAGATCCATTATAGTTAAGTCTTTTGCAGTTTGAGTAGAGTGTTTGAATCTGAATCCAGAATAAAGGGAAGTACTGAATCTGGTCTGGAATCCCTTTGGAGTTGAAGGGCTCAGGTTTGTTCTTTACAATAAAGCAGTGAGCATGGTCATTTTTAAAAGCAGCAAGTACAATACCAGAACTGAAATATTTGACAGTGCAGAGAAAAGG